TCAGGTCAGTCTTTGTATCTAAGTCTTCCCTGCGCTATTCAGCACCATTATGTATGTATGAGAATGCACATTGCTTGTCGAGATTCTATTCGCACTGCATTGTCCATTCAGTCCTTTTTATCACATTGCAGATCCTCGGTTATTACGTACATCACGTATCTGTGCATGTAACAGTTGGTATCGGAGCTTTGCACGTGAATCAGGACAACCTGATCTGACATGTGTGCGGGGACTAATTAGCTGGTTAGTCTTTATTGATTGATTAGAACAATAGTTGGACCCCAAAATCACGATTTTGACCTCACTACCGAAAATCAAAATTTTTTTCTTTTGGATTTTATTTTCTCGCTGTTCTGTTGTGGAAAATCGCAATATCGCAACATCTGAAATTCCCATTTTCGTTTTCTTCTGAAAATTCGAAATTTCGCTGTTGAAAATCCAGAATGTTTTTCTTTTCGAAAATTTCGATTTCCTGTTGCATTTCCCGTTACTTAGAAATTCGGAATATTTTCTTTTCTGAAATTCGTTTTTCTGAAAACGATACGGGAAATCCCTCCTGCGGTATTATTCTTCAAACTGCGAATATTCTCATCGGAATAAATCCGAATACTTGTCATTTCTGTTAGGAATTTTTTCGCAGTTCTGGGATTCTGTCGTTCAGTTCTATAAATCATTGGCAGTCTAAAGTCGAAATTTGTTTTCGCTCTTTCAGTGACCATTTCGCACTTCAAGGGAGGTTGGGAGACCTACCGAACTTGCAAAAAAAAATAAAATAATAATAATAAAAAAAATCAGGATTTTTATTTTTCTCGAAATTTTTTTGCAAAGTTCAAACTTTTCTTGTTTGATTAGTGACTCCTCATCTAAGTGATTAGTTGGGCGATTATCCCACCCACCCCTCCCCACCTATGTTGTTGCCATCCCTCACCTTACCTTCTCTACTTGACTCCAGGTACCCCCTGGAACGGCATTGGTGAGTTGCCACGTCATTAGGCCCCCGGCCTAGTACATGCTGTTGCTGTCACAGACAGTCGTCATGGATCAGAGGCCCGGTGAAGCAGACGAGGCCGATCAGGCCCGGATGCTGGCTTGCAGTACTCAGACAAAGAAACGGGCAGATGACGCAGCTGCAGCAGCGAAGAAGAAGGTAGAGGATGCCGAACGGGCACGTCTGCTGGCGATTGAACAACAGCGCCAGCATGACGAGGCAGCAGCAAGGGCCGCCGATGAAGAGAGACACCAACGTCGTGAGAAGATCTTTACCGGAGAGCAGGCGTTACTTACAATGGCAGCGGAATGGCGGACCAAGGCCGAGAATAGCGAGTTGGAGGATAGCGCAAACAAGATAGCGCTCCTCCTCTCGCGTCTCACAGACCTCCTGGCAACCTGCATTACACAGCAGGAGGAGATCCACGGTCTCGACAACTCGCTAGCTCGCGTCCAAGACCGCCTTCATCGGTTGGAGCAGCGACCAGTCGCCGACGCTGACGCAAGCTCTTCCAACACTTCCGACCGCCTCAACGCATTTGAGATGGACGTCGGCTCACTCAAGGATGGCGTGCAATTGCAGCAGACCGCGACATAACAGTTGCAACAATGGATCTGCACTATCGCCAACACCTTGAGTTCGGAACCGCGTGAGACAGCTCCAAAGTTCGATGGGCAGGAGATCTTCTGCGACTCAATGAAGACAGATCCGGTTCCATGGTTTCGCAAGTTCGAGCTCACGCTCCAGCTCCACAACGTCAAGGAACACAAGCACCATGCATACTTGTACTCTTGCTCAGCGGGTGCGTGTCAGGCTTGGTTGGACAACCTGTTGTCCAAGTACGGAGTGGTAGCTAACGACTTGCACACCAAGATCACTTGGGATGATCTGAAGGCGGCGTGGCACAAGCGGTTCCAGGTGGAGCCGCCGGAGATTAAAGCCATGGACAAGCTCATGGTCTTCGAGCAAGGCACGCTGCCGAGTACCGACTGGATCGTCGAGTACCAACGCTTGAAGTCAGTCCCAGACATCCAGATGGGCTTCAAAGCCATCCGCCATTACTTCATCTCAAGGTCATGTCCGGCATTAAGCAATGCCCTGACGCATGTTGAGGACACCTTGACGACGACGGCGGGTTGTTTGACAAGGCAGCGCAAATCATCATCACGAACAAGGAGGCCAAGAACCTCCGTTCATCTGCGGCAGGCCCGAGCAGGGACCAGCATCGGCCAAGAGTGGCCGTGGCCAAGGGGATAGACTCGCAGCCGCCCGCCCGGGAAGGTGGCCGCCCCGGCCGAGGCCGAGGACACGGCAAGACGAAGACACACACCGCATCTAGCCCCGGGCCCGATGCAGCAGCTCAGACAGGCCCATGGTCCCAATATGGCATCTCCGAGTCAGCATTTAAAGCGCGCGAGAGATTCCACTATTGCCTTTGGTGCAACAACGATCTTCATCAGACGCAGGGTTGCCCATTAAAAGGCAAGGGCAGACAGGGAAACTGAGCACCGCCGGGAGTGACTCAACGACACTCTCGACGCCTTTGGAACCAGTTTCTTCGCGAGTAACCGGCCTTCATTCCGAGGCACGCGGAAGTCGATAGTCCTCCTCTTCTACTTTCTTTTGAGGACTATGCTGCCCGGCTCGTTCCTACGCTGGGTACTCAAGCTCAAGGACAAGAAGTGTGTGCGGTTTCTTCTCCGTCCGGCAACGGCGACATATCGTCTTCAAGTGGTTCATCACGGGATTCGGCACGCGAGTTCAACATAGAGGCATTGGACTCGCTCACGTCTGAGGACTTTGCATGGCTTCCTCTCCCGACCACAGGCCGCTTGCCGGGACCGCAATGCGCAGCACTTAGCGCTAATCTTCACACTTATCCTTCTATGCACCACCAACTTCGCCGACGGATGACGAAGTCGCGGTGGGGGACATCCTTGCGTATACTACCAAGGTGGCCCGCGAGTTTCGCACGCAGCGGTACGATGACAACAACGCACCGCTCATGTATGTCCGCATTCAGGTTGGGCAAGCGTCCTGCAGCGCTTTGCTGGATAGCGACGCGTCTCGCAATTTCATGAGCCAATCCTTTATGCAAAGGGCTGGCCTTGGCGCACAAGTTCGGAGGAAGGCAAAACCCGACGGCGATCAAGTTGGCGGATGGAAAGACGCAACAACTTCTCGACCGTTACATCGAGGCCGCACCGGTCTATTTCGCACCTCATGCATGCGAACCGGTGACATTCAATATTCTCGACACGGACTTCGACATCATTCTGGGAATGCCTTGGCTTGCAAGTGCGGATCACACGGTCAACTTCCATCGGCGGACTCTTAGCGTTCGCGACGCCTTCGGCGCGGAAGTGGCGTGTACTATTCCTCTACTGCACACTTCGATCCGGTGCCAAGTGGTGACGGCCAAATCATTCCGGGCGACTTGCGCTTACGAGCAGCCCGAGGAGATCGGCCTATGTTTCCTACGGACCATCGCGGTAGCCGACTCTTCACCCACAGACTTGTCTTCGGACCCCCGTGTGGTGCGGTTGCTGGACGAGTTCGCCGACATCTTCGAGTCACCTACTGGTGTGGTGCCGGATCGGCCGCTCTCTCACGAGATCATTCTTGAGGCCGGTGCCGTGCCGCCGAAAGGTTGCATCTATCGGATAAGCGAGGAGGAACTTGAGGTCCTCCGCGCACAACTCGATGATTTGCTGGCCAAGGGCTGGATCCGCCCTAGCAGCTCCCCATATGGAGCACCAGTTCTCTTCGTCAGGAAGAAGAACAAGGATCTACGATTGTGTATCGACTACCGCAAGCTCAACGCGCAAACCGTTAAGAATGCGGGGCCTCTTCCTCGCATCGATGGTCTTCTTGAGCGATTGGGCGGCGCAAAATATTTTTCTAAGTTGGATTTGAAATCGAGATATCATCAAATCTCGATCCAGCCGAACGAACGCTACAAGACCGCGTTCAAGACGCGGTACGGGCATTTTGAGTGGGTGGTCATGCCTTTTGGCCTCACCAACGCCCCGGCGACGTTTCAGGCGGCAATGACCAATGAATTCCGTGCAATGTTGGACCGGTTCGTGCTGGTCTACTTAAACGATATTCTCGTCTATAACCGGTTATTGGAGGATCATCTTGGGCATCTTCGACGAGTGTTGGAGACGCTCCGCCGCGCCAAGTACAAGGCCAACGGCAACAAGTGTGAATTTGTCCGGCAGGAGCTGGAATACTTGGGCCATTTTGTCACACCGGAGGGCATCAGTCCGCTATCAGACAAGATTCAGGCCGTCCAGGAGTGGCCGGAGCCTCGGAACGTCACGGATGTCCACTCGTTCCTCGGTCTTACCGGCTACTATCAGCTCATCAAAGGCTAATCCAAGATCGCGGCCCACTTGAACAAGCTTCAATGCGAGGATCGGTTGTTTGACTTCGGAGAGGAGGGGCGGGGATCATTCTTCGCTCTCAAAGCCGCGCTATTGTGAGGTCTTGCGGATATACGACCCGCTCTCGCCTACGCGCGTCACTACGGATGTGTCAAGCTATGGCATTGGTGCAGTCCTCGAGCAACATGATGGTGTGGACTGGCACTCGGTCGAGTACTTCAGCAAGAAAGTGCCCATCGTGCATTCCATTGACGATGCACGCAAGAAGGAGCTCCTCGCCTCCGTCCACGCGTTCAAGCGGTGGCGGCACTTCCTCCTTGGTCGAAGCCAATTTCGCTGGGTAACGGACAACAATCTGTTGGTCTTCTACAAGACCCAAGACACCGTCAACAGCACCATCGCTCGATGGATGACTTTCATCGACCAGTTCGACTTCTTTCCCGATCACATTCCCAGGAAGTCGAACCGCTTTGCAGATGCTCTTTCACGGCGTCCGGATCATTGTACCGCGGTCTACTCAACCTTCGAGATCGACGACGACCTGCGGAACAGCTTCATCCGCGGCTACCAAGCCGACCCCGAGTTTCGCGACAAGTACGCGAATTGCTCCTCTCCTAATCCGGCTCCTTCTCACTACTGGATCCAAGAGGAGTACTTGCTTGTCCACACGCGGGGGAAGGACCTTCTTTGCGTACCGAGTGATCCTCACTTGTGTACATGGCTTCTTGGCGAGTTCCACGATGCTCCCGCCACCGGACACTTTGGAGTCAATCGCACGATTGGCCGACTTCGCCAGCGATTTTGGTGGCCCGGCCTTCTCGGCGACGTCACGCGCTATTGCGAGTCATGCAAGGTTTGCCGACGTTGCAAATCCCGCAACCATCGTCTGTACGGCGAGTTACGACCATTGCCAGTCCCGTTGAGGTGAAGGGAAGCGATTGCCATGGACATTACCGGCCCGTTCCCCAAGCACAAGACCGGAGTGGATGGGATTCTCACGGTGGTCGACCGACTCACCAAGTTCGCCATGTTTTTGCCTTGTCGCTATCACGCCAAGGCACCGGAGTTGGCCGAGGTTCTTTACGCCGGTTGGATTCGAACGAAGGATTACCCCAAGGAGATCGTCTGCGACCGCGACACTCAGTTCATGTCCGATTTTTGGTTGGCGCTCATCAAACGATGGGGCTCATCTCTCAAGCCCAGTTCAGCTCGCCACCCTCAGACCGATGGCCAGACGGAGAGGGCGCATCAGACCGCACAGGTTCTCCTTCGCACTCTCATCCGCCCCGACCAGAAAGACTGGGTTGAGCGACTGCCGGGCGTCGAGTTGGCCTACAACTCTTCCATCCACCCGGCTATTGGGATATCGCCCTTCGAGTTAGAGCACGGCTCGCCGGTCACGTCACCGTTGGACACTATTACTCCACGCACGGTCGAGAGCGACGACCATCTTTTTTTCTTGCGTCGGATGCAAGAGCTTCTTGTCAAGGCACACGACCAGATGGCTAAGACGCAGCAGCGCATGAGCCAACAGGCCAATCGCTACCGTCTTCCTTGTCCATTCCGCGCCGGGGACCTCGTCTGGGTTTCCGCAGCGGAATTCAGCCTTGAACAAGACATCTCTCGCAAGCTCCTTGCGAAATGGATGGGGCCTTGGCCGATCGTAGCACCCGCTGGGGACGCACCCGGAGGACCATCCTTCACGATTCAGCTGCCTGGCCACTTGCCCGTCTACCCAGTCTTTCATTGCTCCAAATTGGCTCTCTACACGCCAGCGGAACATGACGATTTTCCCGGGAGACGTACGCAAGACCCGCCTTCTATGGACGGTTTTCAGGAGGTCGGCAACATCATCTCCCAGTGATGCCACGACAATAAGCCAACTGAGTATTTGGTGCATTTTGCATACTGCACACACCGAGCTGACCGTTGGTTAACCCGTGCGGAACTTCAGGCAACAGCTCTAGACATTCTCGCACACTACGAACGCAAGATGCAAGGCAAGCCGGTTTCTTCGGCTCCACGCCGCGCCCGCGTCCAGGTCCCACCTTCAGATCGTCGGCTTCGCCCCCGCCCCGGCTTGACTTCATAAGGAGGGGGGGGGGTTACATGCTGCGCGTGCACACGCGGGCCATTTTGCAGGCCCGACGTCCTTCAGGCCAAAAGCCTGAAACCCAGGGCTAACAGGGCCCATGTCGGATCAGGCCGAAAGCCTGAATTTCAGGGCCACAGCCCCTATGTCGTTTCAGACTAAAAACGGCATCAGCCTTTTTAGCCTGAAACAAAGGGCCATTTTTGGTCGTTCATCAGAACAACCGGCCCTGAAACTCGGGCACCGAACCAGGGTTTCGGAACAGGCTATTATTAGCCTGTTCCTCACGCCAGCCTCAGCAGGCTGCTGCACGCCAGCCCCTGGCACACTTCGGCATTGGCAAGAGCTGCCTCCTCGGCCTGGCTCACACTTATGAAGCAGGCCGAGGTAGTACATGGGACTTCCCAGGCAGGCAGTCGGCAGTTGTAGTCTTCAGGATTCGGGAGCGGCACTCTGGAGGGAGCGCAGCAGA